TTAAACTATGAGCCACACATTTCAATACCGTGCCATTCTTTGCTGCTGTTTCCTATCCATTTGTTCACCTTGTATGTCTAACTTGTATGTCCACCAAGTATGTCCAACTTGTATGCTGACCTTTGCATATCTGCCTTTTATGTCCACTTTTGCTTGTCATCGCCCAGGGTGAAAATGCACCCACATATTGCATGTATGTGGGAAGTCAGAATATGTGGATGGTGTCAAGGTGCATGTGCAGTTCACAGTACAAACAGCAGTGCAGGAGACTGTGACTGTTGTTGGTGGTGCGTGATGTTCTCAGAGTCCTAATAAATTTGGAAAATGGATGGGTCAGTTTTTGTGGTTGTGGGTTTCCAGGGAGAACCTACAGACTTGCTTTTCATCTTGACAGAGCGCCACAAGATATGTGTCTTGCAATATGATGCAGCAACAGGTAAAGACACCACTGGCTTGTTATCGATGGCTATTTAGTGCTCCATAGCTTTTCATTACAGTGCAGATGTCAGGTGCCAACCCTGTCCTGAGGGAAACATGTGTGCAGTTTGCGAATTTCAGCCCGCATAGTTGTGCTCATTTGCTTGCTAAGGTCACGGCCCAGTCATATTCATTGAAAGTCACTGGGCTTGGTGCTGCCCATGACACCATGGCAAATTGTCGCATGATGCCAACTTGTGTGATGCCAACTTTTTGCTGGGAGGGCTGCAGGCCCGTTACACTAAAATGTTAGGCAATTGCACTGACATCGACAAAGGTCAAGATCAGTTGTGGTTGAGACGGAAATAGCATCTGCTCAGTCATCCTTGAAAGTAAGATGTTGCCTGTTCTTGTTGAAAATCATAACATGTATCGAACTGTTGGGTTGCCCTTTCCAGCTCTGTTGCTCAGCACTCATCGTCGACGTGAGGATGATGTAAAGGAGAGGGGTACTCTGCTCAATGCCATTTCGATGTTCTGCACAACAAATTGCTATTGCACCACCCCTTGGAATTCATGCTGTACTTGAGTTGTGTTTGGCTTCTTGGATAATTCTACCATATGCAGCTTACCAGCTCAGTTTGGAAGTGGCAGAGCAACCTTGTTGATACCATGCCTTGCCTGTTGTGATCTACTGGGGAACAGCTCAGCTGCCAGGCAAGTGTGAATGCATTTTGGGGAACAGACCATGTGTCCATTTGTGCAGGGGAACTTGTGACTAAGGCCAATGGTGACGTGGGCGACAAGATTGGGAGAGCAGCAACAAACGGACCAATTGGGATCATCGACCCTGAGTGCAGATTAATTGGGCTTCACTTGTATGATGGACTTCTCAAGGTAGATAGTGTGGATGGACCCTAACAGATGGTGTATTTGTGCAGTGACCATAATTAGCTGTTAGAATGTTATTTGTGCTATAATGAACTTGCTGAATTTTTGTAGTTGAAACAGGCTGACATAGCTTGGGCACCCCTGGGTGGAAGCAACCGATCAGTGAGCAGTGCTATTTGCATAGATGGCCTCATGTAGGGTTCCTGAGATGGCAAAGGTGTTTCTTGCCAATCGTCAGTCCCTGGTGAACTCTAGAAAATTGTGTGTAAACAAGGAAACAGCCGTTTCACTTTATGCACAACCCCATTTTGGCTGTGAAATGATACTGTTTCGCGCTGTGGGTGATTCAGCAGAAACATGTGAGCATGATAGAAGCTGCACACGGCAGAGGCAAGCCCAGATGTCACACTGATAGCCACAAGAGCCATCTCTGCACTACATTTCTTGGTGTGCAGCTGTTGTGTTGTGTCACAGTTGATGGACTTTTCCAGTGCACATTCACAACATCTGTGATCTGCGTTGTGTGTGTGCAGGTGATCCCGATTAGCGGAACAACACAGTTCCAGGAGGCTTTCAATGTTCGGCTGGAAGAGCTTCATGTCCTTGACTTGTGCTTCATGGAGGGGTACCCACGGCCAACAATCGCTGTCATGTACGAAGACACAAAGAATGCTCGACACATACGGACCTACGAGATAAACATCAAGGAGAAGGTGGGCCTACTGCAGATGTTCCATGTGCACCTGTGCCACCTGGGGCTTCCTGGCACCTGTGGCTTTCTATTTGCTGCTTGTCAGCTATGCAAAATGGGCAATGCTGGTACATGTTCATGAGGCCGACCCATTGAACGAATGCAACGTAGTATTGTCCATCCAATATTATGTGTGGGCTTTTTGACTTGGGGTTGGGCCTCTGGTGAGGTGTAGCAGCCACACGAGGCACACTGTAAATATGGTGTTTCTTGTTGTTGTAGGCAGATAGCCATTCACAGGTGTCTTTTGTCTTGCTAGCTAATAGTGGTTTGTGAGCAGCATTGTGAAGGTCACAGTCGCTGGAATCTGCTGCAGTGCCGTATGTTGTCACAGAGCACCATTCCGTTGTATCTGTAAGGTGGCATTGAAGCCATTCCCCTCCACGATTTCTTGTTCACCATGGTGCTCAGATTTGACTTTCACCACCTGACAGCCAAAGGATTGCAGTCTTGGTGCCCACATGATTGTGCACCAGAGCCCTTGGTAGTGCACACTGCGTCCCCTGGTGTACTGCCAAGTGTTGTTGACATTTTCTGTCTTGCACAGGATCTTCAAGAGGGCCCATGGAGCCAAAACAACATTGACAATGGGGCTGAAATGATGATCCCTGTTCCAAAGGCAACGGGGGGCGTGATTGTGCTGGGAGAGTCCATGATCACATATTTTGGCACTGGCGCTCAACCCCACAAAACGATCGCTGTCCAAGAAACGACGTTCAGAGTGGGTGCTGACTGTTGTGGCAATCACTCCTCGCTCTGCAGTCATTTTGTGCTGATCCGTTGCTTTGAAACCTCCTTCGGTGCAAATGTTTGGGAAGGCTCACAACGATCAGGAAAATTGGTCCTCAGTTACCATTGTTCAGCATTTGCGTTGGTCAAGTTGTGTGAGGATAGTTTGTTTACCAATCCTGGAAGAGAAAGTCATGGCCAAGTCCACTGCCTGTGGTCATGTGATGCAGGCCTATGGTCGCATTGACGAGGATGGATCAAGATATCTTCTGGGCGACTACCTGGGCCGGATGTATTTGCTGGTGTTGGCCCATGATGGTGAAAATGTTCTGGGTTTGAAGCTTCAACAGCTGGGTACGTTACCTTCCTACCTGGTGGGTGGTCAGTTGAACAAGAATCTGTGTGCAAATTGTTGTGCCATCAGGGGCCATGGCACTTGTGGTGCTTCCAAGCCCAGCAAGCCTCACACACACCCCAGTGTTCTTGTGTTGTGTGTTTGCGGAGCTCTCTTGCTAAGCACGGTGAGGTCCTGGCAGAATGCTTGAAGGAAGTAGTTGTTGAAAGCACTGAATGCTGCAGAACAATGTACCATGAACAGTGCGACCAATGCGTTCTTCCATGTTGCTGTTATGGACACCTTATTTCACTCATGTGCACCCCTGACACCCCAGAACAGTTTGTGAACATTTGTTGATGTGGTCACTGCATCCCCAAGGAAGGAAGTAGCAACACAGGGTGGTGTTGAGTTCTGTGGTGGCACATTGATTGTTGGCAGAAAACCTGGTGTGGCTGTTGGGTCATGCAATTGGTCGCAAGCAAGGCTGCAGAAGCTCTGTCTCTTGTCCAGATTGTTAGCCTAATCGCTCCACCAGTTGTCTAAGGCACTGGCAGTGCTTTAGACACGTGACTGCACGTGCACCAGGGAACAATGTTTGAATTCTTGTCCGAACCCCAGGGAACTCATATACCCTTGGAATGGAAAGATGGTGCCAGGCTGCACACTGCCAACCTGGGCCAGTATCAGGTGTGAGTAGTGATTGCAATGTTTTGCCATGCTGACAAATACTGCAAAGCAAGAAAGGTGCCCACCATGCACTTGGTTTTCAAAGTGTTTCTCCTCTGTGTGACCTGCTTCTGGTTTTAAGTACATCGCCACAAGCCAATGTGTGCTGTGTGGGTGCAGGAAGGACACCAGCGGCTTCATCCCTGTCCTACTTGGATTCTGGTGTTGTGTTTGTGGGGTCCAGATTCGGCGACTCGCAGCTTGTGAAACTGCACAGTGCACCTGTCAATGGAAGCCCAGACAACTACATAGAGCTGTTGGACACGTTCACCAACCTGGGTCCCATCATCGACTTCTGTGTCGTCGATTTGGATCGCCAAGGGCAGTGCCAGGTACCTGGATGCTGCATTAATTCTGCGATTTGTCTTCTCTTGAGGAATCATAAGCTGCTGCGACATGTATAAGAAAGGTCCACTTTTGGAAGGCTTGAAGAGCCTTGTAGGACTGACGGGATGCCTTGTGTGTTCTTGTGAAATGTATCAATGCTATTCTTGTGATACAGCATGGATGTTGGATCCCAGGAAATGAAGTTCACAAACTATAGATTATTTGCATCGCTTTTCACAGCGGGTGGGCTTTGTGAGAGCACGTTTGTGGATGCGCAGGTGGTCACCTGTTCTGGGACCTTTCTTGAGGGCTCCCTTCGTATCATTCGCAGTGGCATCGGCATCACAGAGCAAGCCACGATCGAACTGCCAGGCATCAAGGTAATCTGCCTGGCAGTGCTGCATTGAGTGCTGTTGGCAGATGTGCCCCTAAACTACCCAAGCGCTAGAGCTGAAGGCCCAATTTGCCTGCTGAGTATGTAAACTGCTGCTTCGTCACTATCAACTGTGCGCTCTAGTGCTTGTATCGAATTGTGCACAAGAGGAACTTGCACCAAAGTCTGCTGTGTGGCTGGCAAGGGTCTTTGGAGCCTGAAGAAAACCATTGAAGATGAATACGACATGTTTTTGGTTTTGACGTTTGTGAACGAAACGCGTATATTGGCCATCAACGACGATGAGGAGCTGGATGAAGCATGCATTCCAGGATTCGACAGTGATGCACAAACGTTGTACTGTGGGAATGTGATTCACGGGCAACTGCTTCAGGTTACAAGGTAGTGCTATTGTTTTGGAAGCGCCGGCTTGTTGGTCTGTGGAAGGTTGTGTTCCTCACACCTGCAGTAACAATGATATGTTGCATGTGGTGTTGCATTGCAGGTGTGTGGATGCTGACTCTATATGTGCCTTCTTTGTTTCAAAACATTGCATCACAATGAGTCCAAATTTTTTTTGGTTGCTGTTTACAAAAATTTGTTCTCGATCACAATGCATAGACATGCAAGGCTGACAAGCACACGTCTCCGCCCCGATAGAATATGTGCACTGTGTCTGCAACTTTGCATCTCATCACCTGGTTTGGGCCAGGAATCTGGTGTCTGGAAGTGACAGAATAGATCAGGAGCTCCTGACATCGACCGATCGGGGCAAAGGCAGTTGTGGGTCTGTTGTGTCTCCTGACAAACGGGTAAAACTAAGAAGACAGTGAGCACCCACTTGTTGTTGAGTGTGTGGCCCTACAGCAAGTGACAGTTGCCTGCTGTTATTTTGTGGTTCACTGTCAGGAAGCATGCAGCTGGACCATGCTTTTCAACTTGCTTTGTTGCCTGTCTGCCAGGTCGTCTGCTCGATTGGTGTCCACAGAGGACATGGAAATCAAAGGGGAATGGACTGCGCCAGCAGGGTTCATCATCAACATGGCCACCAGCAGCCCATCTCAGGTAGTTGAGGAGCCAGACATGGCTTTGCACAAAATTGTCCGTTTGATATGATGGTGAGTCAACTAAGAGCCACGTAACACAAACTCTTGGTGCTTCAACTGGAATGTAAGGACCAGCAGTTCAGTTCAGCCAATCTCAGGCCTGTATTCTCTGTGGGACGTGGAAGGGGGTGCCTGAAAATGCAGTGTGCTATTGCTGTGGCCGTTGTTTTTGTTCATGATTGTGCTGTTTTGAAGTATTTTTTCTTGCACTCCAAGATGCAAGACAGTGGTTCAGGCATGAAAGTCCAGGTGCAGCCCCGTTGCTAATTACGGTGCCTGCATATTCAGCACCAAATCGCATTGGACCAATCGCGTGACTTGCCAAATTCCCTTGTGTAAACAGACCACAATCTCATCCACTTCCTGTGGTCAGCATTGCCCAATTGGAAACAAGTTGTTTCAGCCAGGAAGCACCACCAACTGTTTGTCTCAGACTGCGTGCTGATACGATCTGCATAATCAGCTGTAAGCTTCCATGCTGCATAAGAGCATGGTGTCCACTGAGCTTTTGTATGGGTGTCTGATCTTATGAGTCAACTACCACTGTACCTTGCTCATATGCGCAGCGTCTTGGGCCAAAGCCCAGCACATTGAAGTGCAAAGCTCCTCTTTGGGGAGAAACCAGACTTTCAGCACAGAATTGGCTTGCTTGTGGCTTGAAACAATATCCACCTGGAAGTTACTGGATGCTGAGTTTGCTGCTCCACTGAAGTGAAGTCGCTGCCAGACGCTTGTGTGGAATTCACAGTTGTGGTGGCAAGCATCGAACAGTACCAGCAGGGATTGTGCATTCACTTGGACGACATGGAAGTGCGAGTCACATGAAAACTTTTGGTTGTCAAAGTGGCGTTCGTTGCATTCAGTTTACACAATTTCATGGCACTGCATTACACGAGGTCGCACTAGGCTGCATCAGCAGGTTGTTGAAAGTGGACAGAGCACAGCCAGCACGCCGTTCGGGCAGTGTGAGGTGATGTTCGCCTCATCAGATACTTGTCTCCAACGCCTTTTGTTCTTGATCACCATGGAAATGTCTGAGCGCTGTTGGTGTGCTGCCTGCCGGTTCAATACACAGGTGCTACTTGCTGGTGGGCAGGGCCGCTCTGTGTACCTGGAAATTGTAGCTGGAGGACTGAAAGAGGTTGGACAGGTGACTGTACCCAGCGAGGTGTCTTGTGTGGACATCACACCCATAGGTATGGGCCTTGTGGTGCATTCCATCATATATAATCAGTGTCAGCAGTAATGGTGCCTGTTTCTTGAACATGTTTTGGCCAAAATGTGGCAAAATGTTGCCCTTGTGCATTTAGGCGAGGGCAGGCACCTGTTCCAAGTGTGTACTGTGCCCCTGTTCCCAACATGCTCAGAGCTCCCTGCCATCAGCAAACAGTTGGCATTCGTATGGTTCTGTAGTCTTTCTGCTGAAATAGTCATCTCCTTAGTAATTAGTGCACCCCAAACCCCAAAAGCAGTTACGTGAAAACCAAAGAGTTTTGGCAGTGCCTTGGAATGCATGCTTTGGTTTTTGTCAGTACTTGGCCCCTGAATTGGGCCGTGGACCACTGGCTGTTCTGTCACTCCTTTGATGTGTGAACGACAGTGGTACAGAAATTGATACATAATGGAATCCAACAAAAAAAATATCCATATCTACTGCTTGATTTGCACACAGGTTGTGATCCCAACCAGGCGCAGCTGGCGGCAATCGGTTCTTGGGACATGAGCTGCTCAGTTTATTCCCTTCCCAGCCTCACGCTCCTCTCTAAGCAGGAGCTGTCTTCTGAAGTCATTCCACGCTCAGTGCTGTTTGGGAACTTTGATGGGTCTGCATTCCTGCTGTGTGCGATGGGTGATGGCGGTTTGTTCACATGGAGGGTTGACCCAGAAAATGGAGACCTCTCGGACAGGAAGAAGATGACGCTTGGGACTAAGCCAGTGACACTGACCCGATTCCGGTCCAAGGGAACATCGCATGTGTTTGCTGCGTCGGACAGGCCCACCATCATCTACAATGCCAACAGGAAACTCCTCTATTCCAACCTCAATGAAAACGATGTAAGTGGTTTCTTTGGTCAATAGTACTGACTCGCGACTACTGACACAAACTACTACTGACTGTACTGACTCAGCACAGTCTGGCTGAGCTGCTTGGTTGGCAGGGTTCAGTTGCTCTCGATTGTGAAGGAAGTGTCTGAATTCGCACTCTATTTCAGTTGTTAGAATAGGACAAAGTACCCCATTGCCTTTGTGAGGTGTGGTGGGTCGTTATTCCATATGCTGCTGTTCCCAGTTGAGTGTCCAAGGTCCACCAACTGCTATCGTCTTGCACAAGCAAAGTGAAGCCATTGCACATTGGTGACGTGGAGAGGCATAAGCAGACGCTCAGCAACTGCCCCAAAACACTTGTTTGCTCCAATGTCTACAGAAAGAAGAAGAAAGAAAGAACGTGCTGCACATAGCCGCCTGTGGGAACAAGTTTGGAGGAATCGAGTGTTCAACAGGCTTTTCATGACAAGCTGTTGATTGGAAGTTGAGCCTGAGTCCCTTCGCTGCACATGTGTAATGCTGCTCTTCCCTTGTGGGCACACATGGAATTAGATCAGGAGTTCCAGTAGCTGATTTGCACAATATCGCAGCATTGCATGTTTGACTTTTCTTTTTTTTCCTGTGGTTGCTATCGCTGTTGCCAGTAAGGAGCTGTGAATTTGCACATTATGAGGGTTTGCAAATCTTTGTGCAAATGTGTGATGCCACTGTCCTTAATTCATGTCATTTCACCAACAGTGACTTACCAAGCATGTGATGCTGTGCATGGATGGCTCAGGTGAATTTCCTTGCATCTTTCAACTGCGCGAGCTTCCCTGACAGCCTAGCAATTGCCAAGGAAGGTTCCATGACAATTGGCAGCATTGATGAAATCCAGAAACTGCACATCCGCAAAGTTCCACTTCGTGAACAGCCTAGGAGAATTTGCCATCAACCAGTGACCAAGACGTTTGGGGTGTGCGTGGAAGCGATGGGTATGTGCCATCAAGTTGTGCTGCACTATTTTTGACAGCAAGAAGAACGTGGCAGATTGCACAGTTCCCTCTTGAGGAAGTCTGTCCTTTCCATGTGCTGTGAAAGATGATGCAGAAATCTCTTGTTGCAGCAAGAACATGCAACACTGGATGAGCACGAGTAGACAAGTGCTGATGAGCAATTGGACACGCATTGATAATTGCTGCTCTCATCGATGTGTTGAGTGTGAACTGTTGCAAGGGACAGGAAATAGAAAAACGCAGTTGCCCTTTTGCGAAGCCTTATTGTCACAACGCAAAGGTGGACATATGTGTGCATTTTTTGTGGTGCAACTGAGGTTTGATCTGTACTGGCGTCAGAGGTGCTGTGGCCTTTGCTGTCAGGGTGTCCTGACAGCGGTGTCTCGAGTCACTGGTTCGAATCATTCTTATATTCATTTTCTATTACTTCCTTGTGCCTTGCTTTCACTATCTTGAAATTATTCAACATGACCTTTCAATTTGTTTCTTTTCATCTCTTGTTTTGCTAATTTCCAGGTGAGAAACCCACAAGCTATTTCCGCATATTTGACGATGAGACTTTCGAAGTGGAGGACTCTATCACACTGGACGCCAATGAGACGGGTTGCCAAGTGGCGTCCATCAAATTCGCTGACGACCCCACAGCATATTTTGTGGTTGGAACGGCCTACGTGCTGCCCGATGAGAAGGAGCCGTCGCGTGGCAGAATTTTGGTTGTGTTGTGCGAAGAAGGGAAGCTGCAGATCGTTGCTGAGAAGGAGATGAAAGGGGCTGTGTTCACCTTGAATCCAATACAGGCATGTCGCAGATCTGTCACCCTCGAAGGTGTATTGGGCATGCACTGCACAGTATCAATTTATACCTTGCTATGGCAAGCCAGTATGCTGCTTCGATGACTTGCAGTTCAGAATGCTGCAAAGAGTGCAGTTTTGTGTAATTTTGTGTAGTGCTGCATTAACTGACTGTCGGTTCCCTTGCCTGCATTAGTCGATACACTAACAAATCCTTTGCACCTGAAAGGCGGTTATGGGAGGAGCAGCACCTAGTTCATGTATGCTCAGTCCCCCGTGAATATAGTCCCACATGCCCTGCTTTGATGGCATTCGTCAGCATCGACAGAAACCTGCCATTGTGCCTTTGGGGCGATGATGGCCACTTGCTACAAGCTCGAGAAGATGCTGCAGCTGTTGTGTCATGAATCTCCCATTCCACAGCCAACAAGCAGCATGCCTGTATTCTAGGATAGTCACACTTTGCCCTTTCAATGCAGCAGCGTGTTTGCTGCCCTGAAGCCATCAGACACATTGCTTGCTTGAAAAATCTCGTTCACTGAATGATGCAGCAATAGCTGAGATGTATCTCAGATTGGCAATCGTGGCAGTGTCTGGCCAATGCTGCACGCTCATTGTCAAAATTTGTGAACCAATTCATTGGTGTTGGCACTCTTGGACCAAAGCCTTGACTGCAGGCTCCAGCATTGGGAGTTTACTGAGTGGCTATGACGGCCATGGCCCTGTGGTGAGTGGTGAGCGGTTTCTGTCCCTTGGCCCTGCAGGGAAAGCTCCTGGCAACTGTGAACTGCAAGGTGCATGTGCTGGAGTGGCGGCTGGGTGAGGACCAGCAGAGGGAGCTTGTCAGTACCTGCTCCCACCATGGGCACATCATGGCACTTTATGCTGCGGCAAGAGGAGATTTCATCATAATTGGTGGGTCGGTGATAGAAAGGAAGCGTGCCACGCAGTGGGCACCACCCTCCTTAGCAAGGGTTGCAAAGTTAGCCCTTTCCTCCTTTTCTCCCTTCTCTTTTCCCTTCCTTTCCTGTTCTTTTCCTTCATACCCTGAATGATGATGCAGAAGTTTTCTGAGTGCAATATGAGCAGCACACAACAAAGAGTGGCACAAGGAAGTTCCTTGTTCCTTGAAGGAACCCACAATATGCCAGTGAATCGCCAAGTGTGCCTGCATGGGGCAATCTCACCCCTTGGAAGAGGCCACCATTGCCCACCTGCACCCATATAGAAAGGTGGAAAGAGGATCTAGTGATTAAGTTAGGAGCAGCAAGCCTTGCATGTGGTTGGCGAATTGCTTGGATTTCCTCCATAAGGAAAGATATTTTGTGCTTTCACTTCAGGCGACATCATGCGAAGCATGTCGCTCCTGCTGTACAAACCCGAGGAGGGGGACCTTGAGGAACGAGCCAGGGACTACAATCCGAACTGGATGACTTCTGTTGCCGTCCTGGACGATGATGTGTACCTGGGTGCTGAGAACAGCAACAACATCTTCACAGTCAGAAGGAACAGCGACTCTGCCATCGAGGAAGAGCAGAGCAGACTGGAGGTTGTGCATGGCAAAACTGGGTGCCTGGGCTGTGGCTGATAACTCCAAAGACCACAAATGTCCTTAGATGCCAATACTTTAGAGCTGCAACAGTACATGTGACTTGTGTCACATGTTGCTTCAATGTGCATGTAGGTTGTGAGCCACACATGGCCGCTGCAACAGCAACAGCAGCATGATGCTCATGCATACAGGCCCTTTGGTGCTAGATAACAGCAACGCCAATTAGTTGATAACCTGTCTTAGCGCCCTTGTTTAAGAATCAATTAATTATTGTTGGCAATGAACAGCAGCAGTATTATGAGTTGCTTGGCAGCCGTTGGGTTGGCACATTATGCTGCTGGATGTTTCGATAGCACAGCCAGAAACATGCTGTCAACCACTTGTTCTGGGCATTTATTCTGAAGCTTTGTTTCATTACTCCTCGCCTATTCATTCGATGGCGAATTTCTTTCATGCTGTGTTCCTGCATGCCCTACTCCTGTCTATGCCTCCTGTCACAGAATTGATAGCGCTTCTCATGGTGGGCTGAACGTCCTGGCAAATTTCAACTGCCTCTTGGCTGTCGTTTGTGAGTTTCATGCTGCTGACGAGAGCCCCGCTGGTGTCAGTAGGTGTAAGCCATTTGCATGCTGATCTGCCTGTGCAGTCTGCCCATCCAAGCTTTGCATTCTTTCAGAAATCAGGTTTCCAGCATGGGATGGATGGTGACCTGTGCTGTGCTGCTCTCAGGTTGTGGGTGAGTACCACCTTGGTGAATTTGTAAATCGCTTCCAGCACGGGTCGTTGGTGATGAAACTGGCGGACACTGAGCTGGCCGATGTACCAACAGTCCTGTATGCGACGGTGAACGGCCAGGTTGGTGTCATTGCCTCGCTGCCCGAAGGGCTGTACCTGTTCCTGGAGAAGCTGCAGGAGGCGCTCAGAAAGGTGAGAAGATGGCCCAAGAAGACAAACTGTGATCACGAACGATGCGGTCCGAGGCAACCAGTGCCACTATCGCGTTCATTGTTCAAAATCCACATCTTGTCCATTCAGCCAACACCCACCCCAACGCATCCTGCTGAAAGCCTTCCGTTGCCTGCATTGAATGTATTGAATGTGACGGTGATTTTGGTTGGCAGGGCTAAGAATTCATTGGGATGTGTCGCTGGCGATGCCGTGAGACCAGACTTCAATAAAGCACCGACGGTCTGCAAGAAACTCACAGGCACATTCAAAGAAAAAAGCATGTCGTCAAGCCAGACAGTGTGCCTTCGTGGACATGATTCAACTACCGTAGTGTGAATTTTACCCTTACACATGGCAACGTAATGCTTAGCCTTTTTGCGGAGCAATATTAAATAGTGTAACGGTGCAGAAAAATGCGAGAAGCCAATGTACTATCGCCCAGCCCGGCTTCAAGAGGTGCTGGGCAGTGACTGATACTTGGCTCGCGCCCGCGTTGAGGTCTGTCTAGCTGCAACTGTTGCATGACCTGACCTGTGCCTTGATGTCTACAGGTGATCAAGGGCGTTGGGGCGCTGGACCACAAGTCGTACCGGATGTTCCAGAATGAGAGGCGGACTGTCGACGCCCATCACTTCGTGGACGGCGACTTGATCGAGATGTTCCTCGACTTGAAGCGGGAGAAGATGGACGAGGTGGCGGCGCTGATTGGCGAAGTGTCCACCGAGGATGTGTGCAAGACTGTGGAGGAACTCAGCAGGTTGCATTGACGAATGGATATCAGGAGTGCAGGAGGTAGAACATCGAGCATTGGCCACGTGTATTGTGTGCAGGCGCTCGGCAAAAATGGTTGAGAGGGTTGTTGGAATGGATAAAGGAAGTAGAGCGCCGAGCAGTGGCGATCTTCGCGTTCCTGTGGGCGCTGCAGCATGCATACCGCATAGTGTGGCAAGGAGGGGGCGGAAAGCTGCAAAGGAAGAACGGGCAAAGATGTGCAAATGCCAGGGCACTGGGGACAAAATGCATTGGGCGGGGGCCACGAGAGCAGTGTTCCACGGAAGGCACTGGCCCAGCACAACGAGTTTGAAAAAGGGTTTTTGATTGATGTTTTGCTGGGGTCCTGTAAAAGATAAACGGTGCAAGAGTCGCGTTGGGTGTGTGTAATTAACAGGCGGATGCTACACAGAATGCGCAAGAAACTGTGGTGCTCTCTTCGGCGCCAAAGAACACATGGTTGGCCACAAAGTAGATCACCATGTTCTGCCTTTTGCTCTGTTCTTCCGCTCCAAATGGGGCACCTGCCCCTGGGTGTATTTCCGTCCTAACCACCTAAACAGAAAGTGGCACTTGATAGTTTTTGCGAGGCCATATGCCTTTGGATCATTTTCAGGCCTCGCATCCTCAAAGCGTCCCTCTGTGCTTCAGCTGTAGTGGACAATCGCTCTTCTAATGGAGTGCAATGCCCTCACCAAGCAACGCTGGCCTCCACATGATACTCATTCTTGACCCGGCTCATTTCCTTCGTTAATGGAGGATGACAGCGGCCTTCTTGAACTTGAGTGGAAGAAAACGAGCAGGACAGCTTGTGCTTCAAAACGTCGACCGCTGCCACCGCTGTTGCTACTTGCTTTGAAGCGCCATTCGCAAGAGGAGCAGCACTGTCGCCAGGATCCCAGGGAACCCCAAGGAATCGGCAGGATCCGTGCTCCCTAAATGCCAGAACTGGAGGGCGCCATTCAGCGAGGCAAACCTATCTAATGCGGCAATAGGGCAAATTTTTGCTTTGGCAGCCTACACGGCGAGACCCCGCCGAGCGCACAGGCATGTGGCCCTCTGGTTAATCCTGTCCTGGACGACTGTCTGGGACAATGCAGAGGCTTCAAACGGTGTGATGTGGAACTGGAAAACCGCAGATGAGTCGGGAACAAAAATGTGAGCCATCGAGACGTGACAATGGACTTGACTAGCATCAAACGGTTGACGATCTGCAACTTAATATTCAGCACCAACAGCCACCGGGTGCGACAGAACGCACCGAATTTAAGTGTGCAAATGCATTGCTGAAACAAGACGCATCCCTTTTGGCGTGTGCATATAGGTGTGCATGCGTCTCCTTTCCAATTGGAGCAGATCCACAGGTGTTCAACTCATCCCAGCTGGATGCGCTCTTTCATTTTAGTCATGTTGGAACAGTTTAGAAATATCGTGGGAGTCGAACTCGCTCAGTCTTCGTGCTGACTCCACCAGTCTTTTCAGCAGCTAGAGCACCCCGATCCCAGAAAAACAAACCACCAAAAAGACTGGGGATTCTGCAAAAAGGATGGGCGAGGAATGGCCCCGCAACGGGAGCGACGTTGACACGCTAGGTTCGGGGTGGGACCGTGTCGGAGGCAGGCATGGCCACGGGCTTGGAGACACCGCTGAGGGAACAGAGTTACGGAGAGATCGCGGACAGGGATGTCCCTTTAGTCATACAGCCATTTGTCAATGATGGACCAGTAGTCGTCAACATCATCATCATCATGGACCAGTCACTGCCATATCAGCGTCGGCAGCTCTGACTCAGCGGAATATTACGATTGCCGCATCCCCGTCAGCAAACCCCATCCAAGACCCAGAAATTGCCCGCATCCCAGAGCCTGGCCGACTTCAGCGGCCCCCCCCCCTTGCCCCGTGCACACCACGCCGTCCCGTCCGCTTCCCGCCGCAAAGCGCCACCCCCGTGGTGGCCCAACCTTCCGACGGCCTCGGCGGGCATCGGCGACGCCACTCGCGGGACAAGGCAAGGGAGCAGAGAACTGTGTTGGCTGCTGATTCGGCGATTGACTGGGCAATGCCGTCGGGGGTGCTGACTTGTGACCTGGCGGGTCCCTGTCGCCGCTCACGCGGACTTGCCGCCTCGAGGGCGCCGCGCTGCCGCCCCCAGCCAGCCAGGCAGCGCCAGGGGTCCCGTCGGTGCCTCCATTTCGACCCCCTGGGCTTCGCTGGTCATGGATGGCCGGCTAGCGGACTCAGATGCCGGCGAGTTTGGCGGGTGGCTTGCGCGGATGAATCTGCGGACGGCCCCGCTGATGTTCCAGCGGAGGCGGCGAGGGTGGGCGGGGATGGCAGCAAATTTTTGGAAGGGGCGGGCGATTACAGCAGCGCTGCGTTGAATTCGGATGCGTTCTGCATCATCGAGGCCGGGGGGTCGGTGGGCGACTTTGCGGACATGCAGCTGGACGACATCGCGTCGCAGATCGAGGCGCGGCGCAACAGGATATTCCTGCTGATGGAGGAGGTGCGCCGGCTGAAGATCCAGCAGAACCTCAAGGGGGGGTCCAAGTCGCGGGAGCTGGAGATCCTGGACCAGCGGTACCAGTCGGCGGTGCCGGTGTTGCAGGCGCTGCAGGGGTCCATAACGGAGAAAAACGTGTCCAAATACTACCTGGGGTACATGCTGATCGTGCTGGCGGTGATCTTCTTCGGGGGCCTGATCGCCCCAACTCTGGAAGTGAGGATGGGCATGGGGGGCCAGTCATATGAGGAATTCATCATGTCCATGAACCTGCCCCTGCAGCTGGCGGAGGTGGACCCGATCGTGGCCAGCTTCTGCGGGGGCGTGGTGGGCGTGGTGTCCGCGCTACTTGTCGTGGAGGTGAACAACATCAAGAGCCAGCGCAAGAACCGGTGCTACTACTGCCAAGGCACGGGCTACCTGACCTGTGGGAGCTGCGTGGGCAGCGGGCTGGACCGCGAGACGGGGGACAGGTGCGCGGGGTGCGCAGGCACAGGCAAGGTCATGTGCACGTCCTGCCTGTGCACTGGGAAGCACCTGGTGACGGAGCACGACCCGCGCTTTGATCCATTCGACTGAAAGGGGGGGGGCTTGCCGCAGACGTGGGTGTGGTTGGGGCAGCGGGAGGCTTGTGTTTCGGCCGAGAATAGCCCGGGTTGGTCCTGGAGCCACGCCAAAGCGGCGCTGAGCGCAGAGGCCGTGGTGGACACTCTCTCGAGTGCAGTTGATTGGCAGGATCTGCGCCGTCACCAGCCTCTATGGGATTGTTTGCTGTTGGAGAATCCGCGGTGGAGGCTGCGCGGGGGTTGCCGCACAGGGAGGCCGAGGCACGGTTGGAATTGTTTCAGCACAAGATGCTCGGCGACTTTGTCAGCAACAGCAGAGGGCATGGCAACCCTGTTGAGCCCGTCAAGCAGCAGTGGCCTGGGAGCTAGGGAAACTCGCATCCAGGTGCAGGGGTGCTCAGCAGGGCAAAGGCAGTCGCTTGAAGGGGGATTCTGTACAACCTTTGCAATTCACACAGAACGTTGCAGCATGAGGATGTTTCAGATGCCGTCTGGGCTCTCTGCTTGCGGAGAAAACTTGTTGACATTTTTGTTTGCCAATATGGTTGGCGAATTCACCTTGTGTAACACTATTCATTCACTGATGGGCTTCTCACAATCCCCAACCTCTCTGCGTTCATGTGTTACGGTGGCTTGCACTCCAATCAGTACCCTGTCTGATTGGAGGCAAACATCTGCCACCAAACGATCGTCCAGGGGTTGCTGTTTCACTGCCTCCCAAGGTGGCAACCCCATGCCAGTGCTGTGGAGGTTGAAGGCACACGGTTGTGTGGCAAAGCAGGAAGGTGATGAAGTGGCTGACATGTTGAACTACTCTATAGCGGACTTGTGTTCGCAAATGCACAAACTGCCTTGTGGGACCCCCTTGGGCTGTTTGTTGGCAATATGGAAGCATTGCTTCACCACCATGCTGATGTAGCACACATCGAATGGACCCATACCACACACAGATCATTTCCATTCATTTCACCGAACAACACACCATCACCGCTGCCCTATCCCCACGCTTGCCTGCATGCATTAACCCAACAGCCCATCGTGGCACATGATGCATTGGCTGCTGCCACATCCCAACACACAAAGCAACTGTCATCAACCACTTGCACATGCCCCTGGAAACACTTGCGGCTGTCACAATGGACTTCACTGCAACTTGGACTGCTTGGCCTTCGACCCCTGTTCCGTCTTCTTCGGCCGCCGCCTCCGGCAACTCTTCTGCACAAACGTCGCGACAGTGTGCCCAAAATTCAACAGGCCCATCAGTGCAAACAGAGATCCCGTCAAGAATATGCCCCTCTGGCCCCTCAAGTCGGACTCGTGTGCCTCCATGTCGAGCCAGCCTTCGAGGGATTGCATGGCAGGGGCAGTCCGCAAGACCATCTCTCCCCCAATCACCATTTGCCACATTTGCAGGACTGCAAACAAAGAGAGCAGTGCCAGCATATCAGTCAGCGAAACAGCAACACGGGCACCCTGCGACTGGTCATAACCTGTGCTTTGCACTTCCTTGCATTGTCATGAAAGGTGGCAAGACGCACACTTCTTCTGAAAGGATTGGCGAGGGTGTCAATAGAAGAATTGTATAACTGGTACTTCATCTCTTGCATGCGATACCAACATCAGTATCAAACAGAAAGCAGAACCCAGTGCCAGCAAGAGTCTTACTGAATGTGAGCCCCAACTGCCTAAACACAGATGCGCGACACTTCAATCACAAAAACAACGATCCAACGTTTCTTCCTCCCAGCTGCCCACTGCCATTCATGCGCAACGCAGACTTCACCGCAGGTTCTCGACAAAAAGGAACGTCAATGGCGCACTCGCCCACACCCGCTTGGTTTCTTGGATTTGGCTTGTTGGAGACACACAAGACGCATAAGATAAGACAACATTGGCTGTGCGTGTTGGCTCCCCGTCTATTCCAGGCCGTTGCTGCCTCTCTGCAAGTTATTCCACAATTGTGGCAATGTTCTTACGATTTGGGAGACTGTGTGCCTGCTGTCTGCCTTGCACTGCCGTATGTCGATCATGCCACCAAAACCTGAATTACGTTTGCCATTTGAGGGAGGCTGATTGCTTAACATGTCGCATGGCTTGTGAGGACTCACACACTCGTTGCGAACATGTTGGCACAGGCAAAGTTCTCCGCAGCCATGCAGACCCCCAGGGCCGCATGTTTGTTTCTTTGTCATGTTTGCTCGTTTCAGGGCACCCTGCCCTTTTGTCCATCCCTGTTTGAAGCCCTCCCTTGCAGTCAATGGCTCCTGCAGCAATGCAGAGCAGAGCGGGATCCAAAACGTACTTGTGAGGAGGCTCCGACCCAAAGTGCGCCCCGCTTTCTGCATTTCGAAACACATCTCACACACCCACCTACGAGCATGGGGTACAAGAGCCACAGCTGGCCCTCTGCCCCTGATGTCTCGCCCGTCACCACGTCCATTGCTGAGTCCTTGCCCAGAGCTATCCGTGTGTACATGCGGCGCCTCTGGTACCAATTCTGCACCATCATCACCACGGCCTGGAACACAGTCCAGCGGAGAAATTTGGGGCAGAACATGGTCCAGGCTGCAGGCACAGAGAACAGCCAGCACACCAAAAATCAAATCAGCCACACAGACAGCCACAACACGCCTGTGTGCATATGCTTGGAAACCGCCATGAGCATTCAATAGTCAGAAAGGTACAAGCTCTGGATGGAAAGGCAGGGACAACAATTCTTGTGGAACAAACTTACTCGGGCTATGGTCTCAATCTGCGGTTTCCAACAGGTCGTTGCTGTAGCGCTTCACTATTACAGGGTGCTGCATATGCCCTGCAGCAACGCTGAAGCTGCGACCTAGCCCTATGTCGCAATGTTAGTTCGTCAGTTGGCGCCACAGATGTTGCACAGCCGTGTTGCACCGCAGGCCCACTGTTCCGCAGGCGCCAGGGCTGTGTCATGCCCATTGGAGATGCTCAATCCATACACAAACCACCCAGGGGGTCACAGAAAGCATCCCAAAATAACAGTCCAAGTTTGTTTCATGCCAACACATGCAGCCTCATCTATGCAGTCTGGAGTTGCAAGAGTGTGCAGAACAGCCATGTTGTGTGTATTACAGTCAGAAGGAGAGCACCACAGTGGACATGGCTTTCGGCCCACTTGATCCCCCTGGATGTACAGAGAGGTACTATTGACAGCCTGCTGACATGTAACACCAATGTTGGGTCTTTCTGTGGAGACTACGCTGAAGCACATTTTCATATATCAATTCATGTATGGTCGTATGTACCCTCTGGTCATCCTTGCACCGCAGGCAAATTCCTTCGATCACCAACCAACCTTGGCTGTCAACAGGAATAGTCAGCATGATGATACACGTCACAAGGGAAAGGTAGTGGTGTGTTATCCACCAGCCTCGGATGTTTGAGCCGTTCACCACCAGAATGTTTTCCCGCAGTGCAGCTGCAGTGTAGACATATGCCAGCCACACCAGGAACACTTGTACACCTGCGATGCAGAACAACCACATAAGGACAGCCACAGCAAACAGCCCATGGGACTCTGGCATTCATGGACATGGCGTTCTGAACACTCTGTGCACGGACATCAGCCTGCCATCGCCTTGCAGGTGCAAGGGCTGTGTTCTGTCAGCCTTGAACAAAAGTGTTCAAAGGACTTACACAGCATGCACCCATGGTCATGCACTAAAACCCTGGTGCATGCTTTCCTGCTATTCAGCGCCTTCTGATGATGATGCAAGCCATTGCAAAACAGACCGTTGGTTTTTGGCAATTTGCGCATGGTGTGATCTTGTATTCATGTGGCAGTTTCTCTGGCAAGAAGAGGCAATCATCGATGAAAATATACAAATCAACACCTTCTTTACCAATGTTGTAGCTCAACCCACTATACTAGCGCAGGAGATTGGCATCCTGTGCACATCCTGCCCTGTTTTTCAACTACACTATGAACAAACAACACTAGCTTCTTTTGGTGGTGATTGGGCGCAAAGCTCATCTGGAAGCACACACTTGTGCAGTGACATTACCTGACAGGTGAAAAGCAGTGACATTACCTGACAAAGTGATCTGTTCCATGGTGATGACAATGGTGAATGCAGCTTCAACAGGCACTATTAGGGAGATGAAGCAGCAACCATGTTCCTTGCTGTCAGAAGTTAGAAAATCAAACCATGGCACACTACACCGAACCCAATAAAACTGTACTGTGTACAGTGCACCAAACCTGCCATCACCGTTGGCGCCAGGGAGTAGGGCTCGTTGCCCACCATTTTTTGAGCTGCACGGTTCATCCCATACAGCAGCACAGCCGGCCACAGGATCATCACATATGAGGCCATGTCCCTGAACGAGTGGTACTCCTCCTTCAGCGCCAAGCTCTCCTCAGGCCGGAGGGTCAACACCTTCGTTGATTTTCCAAGGAGGAAGCGCAGGAGTTTGGGGTTTGTCTTGTGGCACAACTTCCGCCTACGTGTAATAGGGCAAGTGCACAATCGCCATCCATACAATCAAATGCACACAGGTTCCTATCTTCTTGCTGCACTGTTGCACAAATGGCACTTTTTTGTGCATGTGGCCACGAACAGCGCAGTGCGATGGAAGAGGGCAAACTAATTATCGCTCTTATGAAATCCAATGCAATTGCAGCCTCAGGTATCCTCCCTGAACCATGTGTTGATGGCAAATTTCGGGGGCTTTTGGCCCTTTGACAGCATGCAGAGAGATGGGTGATGTTGCTCTCACTTGAGCAATGTCCAAGCAGTCATTGTCCGTGACTTTGAAACAAGAGATAATATGGCGCCCATCCAATCCGCATATGCTGGCCCATGTCTGTAACACACTGCTTGCAGTCCCTGGAGGAAATAACATCTTCTGTAGTGGCACAATAGGTTGTTACATTTGCAAAATGACATGACAGAGCACTTCGCTTGCAACCAGCAGCTGACGTCGGGTGTTGTTAACAGCAGCACAACGACATCTTCGGCAGCAGAAAAAAGAACATAGCAGCAACTTTGCTTGGGTCCCGAGTGTACACTGTGTATCGAGTTTTCTTCCTTGTCCATGGAGACTCCGTGCTGTGTGCTTACAGGTCACCTCCTGGACCATTTCCCCTTAGCACTTGTCGTGCTGCCGCCATTTGCTCCTGCACAAGACCATCGCCACTCTCTTGTGCAGCTTGCTCGGTGGTGTCAATGCTCCTCTGAAGTGATCTCACCTGACCAAGCAGCGCCACACAAGCAAGTGAACCGCAATGACAGAGATCCGGCAACAGCATTTATCCCGTGTGCTGATCTTCTAACAAAGGGTTTTTGTTCAGGATGCCAAATTTTCAAGTAAAAGAGAGGAGACTAACTCTGTTCCAAACGCACAAACGAACGCGACACCAGCGTACTTGCAATGGATTTCCACTTTGCCATCGTGCTGCCCATTTGCTCAGTGCTTTTGGGGACCTCGTTCAGAATCCAGCGTTGAAAGTACAAATGTGTAACTCAGCGCTGCGGAGCGCCTTTCGCGTTGGAGTTGTCGAAATGCGTGTGCCCCGACACGAGGTGTGCGACAACTGTGCGGGACCTCGCAGTGTTCCTCTCACTCCCCCGCCCTTTTCTCCCGACGTACATCTTCCGCCAAGCCGTCAGCTTCCGCCACTGTGCGCTTGACGAACGCCTTGACGCGAGAGCTCAAGGACCGGCTGGGTGACAAGGCACACAAGTGCGACGGCATCGGTCAAGCCTTGCCCAACGAGGAAATCAACTATCCCGTGCGCCAGAACGCAGGGTGAGGGCGAGTGACCGCACTCCGGGCAGGATTCTAGGAACTGCGCAGGGATGAACGCAGCGCAGCGCGGCAATGCCACATCGCAGACCTTTGCGATCCCCCTGGAATCCGAAGCTGGGCAGCCGAGGCGCACCGGTTGGCGCCAGAAGGCAAACGCAAACGCCACAGTGGCGTGGCTGAGCGATTGAAGGCTGGCCTTACCACTGCTGCAGAAGGTCCACGTCCTGCATCTCGCCTTGCGTCCGTTGCGGGGTGTCGACGAGCGTGGTCGTCCAGGCTGGAATATGTTGCCGGCGAACGTGTTTTCGCCCGCGCGGGGGTGTACCAAAAGATATTTTTGGATTTGCGGAAAACGTTTCTTGCGGCCCACACCACGGACACTGCTGATTCTGGAGTGTCCTTGGAAAAAATTGTCGGGATAGCCATGACAAACAAAGCCCTTGTACCTTGCAGGCGACGATGCGCATCGTTTGTTGCAAAGTCGCGTCTCGCTAGCACGCCCGTGGCCCCAAGGACGCCGGAAATAGCAGGGATTTCTCGGGTGTCATGACAAATGTCAGCAGCACCATGGGAGCCTATTTAATTCCATACCACATAATATTGAATTTGGTACCAAACTGCCCCCGTACCAAATAAAATTGAAACTAGTACCAAATAACATTGAACCTGGCACCAAACTGGCGACGTACCAAATAAATTGAAACTGGTATCAATGCGTAACCACTACCAAAGATGTTGAATCCAGTATCAATTAGTCATACAATCGCCGCCGCCACAAGGGCTCGTAAACCCTAAACCAAGCGCAAGCCCAGTGCTGGTCGCAGGCCTGGTCGCAGGCTACGATTCGATGACTGATCGGTACTGGCTTCAACATTTTTTGGTACATCGTTCAGCATTTTTGGTACCGGCGCGAATTTGGTACCAGATTCCATATGCGTTGGTAGTAGTTTCGGTTTTATTTGGTACGGTGGCAGTTTGGTACCAAAGTCAATATTATTTGCTACGGAGTTAAATATATGCAGGCAGGGGATCCATGCGACTACAGCCAGGTTTGGCACATGCGCGGAGGCCTCAACGACGGCCAACATGTCTGGCATTGGAAGAGCGCAATGCACTCGGGCAACAGTACCTGTGACGTTCAATTCACGGAGCGAGTTTTTACACCCGGTACTAAGTTCCGACCAAACTAAACGAGCGTATACACACAGTCTCAAGTTGTAGGTCGGCTTCCCCAGTTTCTAACCCGATCACAAAACCGCCCCACCTCACACAAATTTCCATCCTAGCTTTGAACAGCGACAGCCTTGCAACCGTGTCTAGGAAGATCTTGCGCCGCCAATGCAGCATGCATCAAAACAGGTTCAAATCGCGCGAGGGAAACAGTGCCTTCCCGCCATTTGTCGCCAGCCCTAAGCCCTGGGGTCCTGGTCCTCATTCCACACGAACAGCAGCTCGTCCCATCCAGTGGACGCAAGCAAGCCCTTCTGGTGGTTCGAGAAGTCTACTCCGACTGAGAACTCTGTGTGATGGTCCCATGCTCGCACCAGGGCATCTTCCGGGGCAGAGACGTCCCACAGCCGCACGGTCATGTCGTACCCACATGATGCCAGGATGTTCTCAGCATGGGGCGAGAACAACACACGCCGGACTGCGTACCTGATGCACAGCAGTGAGCGGCACGTTATTGCGTTGTGACTGGAATGTGGAGACACAGCAGCAGAGGGGACGCGAGGTAAAGTTGCAAGTAACGCAGAACATATGCTTGGTGCTGCTGGAAACAACGTCCAGCGCCCGCTGCAATAAAGTGCTGTTGATGTCAGCGCAGCAATGCCTGGATGCTCTTGTCAGCAGGTGCCCCAGGCTCACACCAAATGTAAATTGAAACATGTTCTGTAGAAACTGCTGCACCCTTTTCCCACAGCCTTGCAGACCGCACCGCACATTGAGCGGGCAAATTTGCAACTATTCTCAGATTTGCACATTCGGTCGGCGTCATCTGTACAACAGGACGCAAATTGTGGAGGTCGTCACGGATTTGGACGCAACTGTTCTGCCAGTGTGGACAAAATACAGAAACTCATGCTGAGAAGCAATCGAACAAAGAAATGTGCCCATACAAACGAGGTAGAGGCCACATTTCTGTGTGCATTGTCCCCACCTCTCGATGCAGGGAAGCAAAACATCGAGTTGAGACAGGTGAAACAGCCATTGTTCCAAGAGGCGATTCACACATGGGTTTTCCACAACAAAAGGCTGCAGCCCATTGGCAACAGCCCTGAATCACTGCAGGGTGTGCATTTTACATGGATCGCCAATGCAACTCTGGACAATACCATGTTGCAGGCTCTCAGAGGAATCCTGCCTGGAGAGGATTGCGATGAAGTCCAACCAGCTGTGGCCACCTTACCATATGCTGCGCACCTGCAGACTGCATACCATACCTTGGGCCTCTTGGGCTTTTCTAAGCGGAAAACAAACAACAGTAGATACACTGGAACCCAGAACATGGAACAAATATGTTAAATGGAATCATGCACTTTGTTTGTTGCCTTCAAGATGCCAGGGCAAAACATTTCTTGCCATTCCAAAGGATTGGGCCAGGCAGCTGCCAGCATACCTGTGGCCCCTAAGCTCGGTGATGGGCCTCTGTGGAGCCCTCACATCCCACGTTCGTATGAGTTTGTCAACTGAGCCAGTTGCCAGGAGACAGTCATTGTATTTGCACCAATCCACAGCCAGCACCTCTCCTGCATGGGCCTCTATCGTGAGTCGTGGGACAGGCTCTCTGCTGTCCCATACCCTCACCGTGCGGTCGCCCGATGCTGATGCAAACACGTTTCCTGATCTAGGATTCCTGAAAGAAAAACATATCCTGAATCACGATTGACTGTCCAGTGCGCCTTCGAATCCATGACAAGGTAGACAGAGTGCACAAAGCCACTGAAATGCCTTCATTTACAGCTTGCACTGCACACAGCATACAAGGGCATTAACTTCCCCAGTGCTGCTGGTGCTTGGGCTAAATGAATAGGGGCAGACAATTGGTTCAGTACATAGCTTGTTCTCCAAAAACAATTTCAGCAATTTATGTTTGCTGATGCGCACATGCAAAGCGAATTTCAGCAGTTTCATGGAGACTTCGATTCCGGCCTTGGAGAGCAGTGGCTTGTCTGAAGCAAATACAAACCCACCACACGGCGTTGTATACAACATATGAATGCTGGGCAAACGTTGCCAGCGCAGTCGGGCTTTCCATGTTCCAGAGCTTTATGGTGCCATCCCAAGAAGCACTGAGAAACACATCTTGGCGGTCGACATTCCATTGCACCGATGACACCTGTGTCAACAAGCAGAGCAACATATCAATTGAGACCTGACTCTCAGGCCCAGTGCTGTCAGGACAGAAACGATTTTCGCATTTAAAAGCAGATAGAACAGAGGCTGGATTTCTGCTATTCATGAGAAGTATCCAACACAGTTGCGCAGATGTTCTCAGATACATGCCAAAAACGTGTGTTTGGGCAGTCGACTGCCTGTGTCAATGCACACAAACCTCGAGTCCCAGTGTCCTCTGCATCTGCCATTATTGAGAGAAGCTATGGAGGGATGATTGAAGGAATGCAGCTGGTGCCAGATTTCAAGGAAGAGCAGTGTTGCAGAACATTGCCATACCAATGCACTTGTTCTGTCTTTATGTGCTCATGTCAGCCGTACCAGTCAAGGGTACTGTTCTGCCTTGCAAGTCAAACAAAGTCCAAGCCATATATGCTGTGTGACCTTCCTGTGGGCAGTCAGGTAGAAGGCAACTATAAGACATCAAACTCACTGTACGAACGAGCAGCATGAAGCACATTTTCCAATGCACAATTGTGTAAGAACACTAGTAGATGATTGACATCCATACTGTGGATTCCATACGTTCCACTCCCACTGTAATGCAATGGCCTTCCCTTTACCTGCTGGCGATGTTGGAAGTCTGTATGAGCATTTCCCAGCATACACTCACAGAAGCATGCAATGAAATGACCTCATAGTGGGTGCCATTCGACATGGAAATACAGGCCCTCTTGCGTATGGTTTCAGTTGCTTGAAACATGCCCCATTCAGAGGGTTGTATACAAAAATTGCAGACACACTTGGAGATTCAGCACACAGCTGAGGTAAACCAATTTCCAGCAATCATATCCCCTGCTTCCATCCCTCCTGAGTGCAAGTCTTACTGTTACACACGCAATTGCTCGCTGGATGCTTTCCTGTTAGACTTAGAGACTTCTGCATCGTCTTCTGGGTGGAGAGCAGCTCACCAATTTTCCAGCCGAAACAGGTGTCCCCATTGTACACATTTTCATTTTTGTCACTGTGGAAAGTATTCAACCAGTCCTATTTGTTTCACAACAACAACAGCCTCCCTCACCTCCTTCCCATGCTCCTGGAAGCTCCTCAGTGGGTTTGTTTGCGGGGGGGCAATGATGTTCCACACCTTTATTGTTCCATCAGCACATGCGCTGATCAAGATGCTGTCATTGAGCTCGCTCCAACAGCAGTCATACACACCGTCTGGTGTGTCATATGCACACACCTCCACAAGGCCAGTGGGGCCAATCTTCACAACAACCACAGTAACACACTCTGTAAGGTTTCTTAGTCTGCAGCACAATATCTGATTTCTGTCAGGGCTCTCAGCAGTACTGGTGGCATAGACAAAAGCACCAATCGGCACTTCCATGGATCACTTTCGCATAAAACCCACTACAGATAAGCCCTTGCACCTATGAACGGTGGCGCACGCAGACAAATACAACCAGCGTTTGGTCAATTAGTTTGAGCAGAGATGTGTGACTTGACCAACGTGTTGAATTTTCACATTGCCTGCAAGGATGTTTATTCAAGCAGCATTTGGTCAATATCCCTGATCCTACTTCCTCAAAACAAGCACCAACTTCTGAGCTTGTGAAACAATGCATAATATCGCCCTACAGGCCACTGGTTTGATATGCCTTGTCAAGACCATCATTGGGAACTAATAATATCTGTCAGCATCTGAATGCTGCATCTTTACAGTTGCACTCGCCCTGATACTGGGACAATGGGGAAGAAGATGGTGAAAAACTGAAAAATAATTTGCCTAACTGTGCCCATGTGCAGAAAAATTTACAAACACGGACAAAGACTTAGAATACTGCCTGAAAGACAGGTTCAGGTTCAGTGCCAAAAATGCAACCAACTTCGCAATTCGTGATCCTGAAATGTCGTGTGGGACCATTTGGTTAAGCTAGGCAGACTTGCCACTGCCCTGGAGAATGCAATGCAGGTCTGACAGCCTGACATCCTTTGCTGATTTGTCGATATAGGATTTCCCCTTCAAAGGCGTGTTGTTCTCACGCTCTCCTCACAGCACGCCCATGTGGCTTAACGGAACGCCCACAAGTAGGTACACCATCGGCCAAGACCGCCATTCATGCTGGTCTGCATTTTTCCCTTTTTCCACCAGTGCAATCAAATAATTGACACACATTTGCACCATTGCAGGCAGAGAATTGACACTCATGACCTTACGTTCTTAAATCTGCCAGTGCGCAGGCGCTCGAAGGCTATCTACGGGTCTACAAACGCCTGCAGCACCCCTGAAGCGTTCAACCGGGCCCGCTTGCGATCAACCAACAACGTCCTTCAAAACCCGGATTCGCCCACAGAGCCTCGCTCCCCAACATTAGTCGTCAAAACCCCACGTTCCTGAGCCCCAGCGACTCGGCGCACACCTCAAACACAGCTTGCCTGCCAACTCCCACAATGCCGAAGTTCTGTGCGGACGCGACGGCCAATTTGTTGGGCTGCAGCGGGCTGAACTTCACGGAGTAGCCGCTGGACGCAAGCTTGAAAATCATCCTCCCAGCCCAGCCGTCAGCACGAGCAGGGGATCCAACTGACTGAGGCCGTTCCTGTCCTTTTCGCTGCCTTTGGCAGGGCGCACGTTGTGTTCGTTCAGCGGACGCCCGGTCTGCCGTGTCCCGCAACAGACCCTTCGGACGGGTATGAAATGCAGTCTCGTCTACTTTGGTTTCGTCTGCATTGGGTGGTTGCGCTGCCCTAAAGCTCTACCCAGGATTAGGACCGAAACTTCAAGAGCAAAGTACAGCTCAATTCCTTGATCCGCGTGCGTTCACAGGGCGGTCGCATGCATGGGTACGTCTGTCCGCGTAGCCACATAATGAACCCCGTTTCACTGGGTGGATCAATACGTGCGGCTAGCGATTGCTTTGCATTTCAAAGAGCGTTTTGTTCTTGCATGGGATGGCCTGAGCCGACCGCCAATACGAAATCATTGAAAATATTCATGAACTCCTTGGATCACGCCGGTTTTTTTGACCTGATTTGGCTCATGGGATGCCTTTTACAGTCACACTGATGTTTGTATGTGACAATGTGAGTTTTTTATATAAATTTTCCACAAAACGTTTAAAGCGTTGAGCTGTTCATGCGGAATGCCTTGGTCAGGGCAGCTTGTCCACAGGAAATCTCGTGGGAAAGACGTGGCTGTGTTGTTTCCACAACTTTACAGTGCCTTGAAGATCTTTGTGTTTTTGACTTGCAAGTATCTGCATGGGTTGCAATGGCCATATGAAGGGTCTGAGTAGTCAGAAATGTTGTGTTTGAATGGGTGAGTGGTGTTGAAAGGCAGGACTTCTCTATCTACATTCTTGCCTCATCATTGTGGCTTTGGTGATGGTAGAGACTCCGTGCTCTGGTAGCCCATACTCCAAACTGATTTCTCTGTGCAAAGACATCTGCGGCGTATTTTGCGTTTGGCTATGCACTGGGTGGGAACATGAATGAGCTGCTTGATTGGCGTCTGTGATGAGTTGAATCCCGGGGTTACAAATTGGTAGGCCGGTGTTTATGAGACAGGAAGAAAGTTGGTCGCGTTTCGTGCCGCCCCGCCGTCGGCAACGAAAGCTGTGTTTGAACTTTGAAGCGGACGAGCAAATACGCATGCCCGAGTTCTACGTGGAACTGCTCGCAAGGCCTCGTGTGACCGCCGTTGGGCCGGCGTTGGGTGTGTGCGGCGCTTCATGGGAGCAGTCTGGGGTTTCGGTTTGAGCCATCATTCCACAGTATACTTTTAACATCGTCCAGAACGAATTTTTGCCCAGTGTTCGTTCATTTCTCCGGTCTGCCACACATCTACAACGCATACAAACAATCACTGTGGTTACAGAATTCTCGGAGTCCGACGTCGGAGCGCCTCCGATGCAGCTCCGATGGCATCCGACGTCGGATTCCGAGTTCTGTCTCCCCCGATGCGTCTCCGATCCACGTCCGACGCCGGAACCCCAGTTCAGGTGCCTGCGCCCGTGAGGATGACAAATACATCGCTGAGGCCAAATTCAAACTTCGACAGCTGTACATGTATGGCTGTGGCTGCGGACGCGCCGCCTTCACCGAAACCCCGCCCTTCCGCCTGCGCCAGCGCCGGTGCTGGCCAGGAGGGCTGCGTCGGCGGCGCCGGCCCCTCCCTCCAGCAGCGACAATGGCGGTGGACCCAACATCGGATCCAGCAGCAGCGACAGCAGCGATGGACAGGCAATGGCGGTGGACCAGCCAAGCCATACATCAAGGTGCGCTTCATGGGAAGGCCAGGCCACGACTGATCGTGTGTGCTGCGTTGCAGGGCCACTGAATGCTTTTGTGTGTGCGCTTGTGTGGTGCGTTGCAGGGCAGCTCAGGTGCGTATGTTTATGTGTGTGTGTGTGTGTGCGTGTGTGTGTACGCGCTCGCGCGTCGAAAGAGATGGCCGAGGGTCTACTTTGTCGTGATTGCATGTCCAGGGGGCCAAGGCTGATCCAGGACACGCGCAAGCTGGTTGTCCTCCACCCAACTCACCACACAAGGCCTTGTGCCTTCCTAAACACGAGGCAGGCAACCAAGCCCCAAACCAAAATCCAGCTGCCATCGACACGGAACAAGAATGGCGGAGGGGGGGAACGACCGAGCACAGCTACGCACTCCAAACGAAAAAAGGCACTTGCGCGCAGCTGGGCGCGTGATGGGGGAGCCCATGGCCCTCCGCCCACGACCCATCCCAGCTCGCGAGGCGCAGGGCGTCGGCTGGAACACCAGGACGTGGTCCATGAAGGCAACAAAACACCACAAAACCGGCAGCCAAAGCAGGCCACCATGCGCCACATCGGTCGCCGACGCCAGGAGCCGCTCCTGATGCACCAGCCCACCCCACCAGAACCCAGCGCGCGCGTCGAGCTTGCAACCCCGATCGGGGTCCGAAACGCTGCCCGACATCGGAGTCCGACTTCGGAGGGGGCGCCGATGGCATCGAGCGCTCGAAAACTGTCTCCTGCTCCGATGATCGGACTCCGATATCGGACGCATGTCGTCCGAAGATTCTGTAACCACAGTGTAATGTTGGAAAGCAGAGAAATGACATCGAAAATCGCCCAAGATTTATGTCAAAAATGTTTCGTTCTACCCAGCGCTAGCGGAAACACAACGCAAAAACCAGAATGCATTTTCAAGAAAGAGTAAACAACCTCCTGAATGTTCCAGCTCACGATGCCCACGACCTTCAAACTCAGCTTCCCCCCAGCTGCGCGATACAATCCAAAAGACCAAATATCGAGCAATTTAAACTTTGCATATTCCTCAAACCGAACTCAATGTCTAAAGGATGGCGGATGGATGAAAAACGGGCCTACCACAAACATTTTTGGGCTGCCGCTACTCCCAAGAGTATCTGACGCATCCACAGCGCCAACCCTCATCTCCCAAACCAGAAACGCATGAACTAATCGCTAATACCATATCAGTTTCTGTGTGTAGAAAGGCGCTTGAAACTGCCAGAGCCGTTGTAGTGGAGGCTAGCCTGGCATTGCCTGGTGCTGCTGGTGCCCTATATGATTGCCGTTCAGCCCCTTGGGAAGGGAAGTGCGGGGCCCACAAGTGTGCTTCACTGTACTGCAGATGCGGTCGGACGCCGGTTGGCAGTACAAGTTTCTCCAGGGGGGGGGCGTCCCCCGAATTCAAGGTGAGTCGACTCACCTCGAATCCCACATACTCAACGTTCGGTTCCTTCCGTTTGGTGTCAGGGGGAGCTGCTGTGTATCTTGGGAGCTCTGTGCTATTGCCACATTGTCATGAACTGTGTTGACTGACATGGGCGAACCCAACCATACACAGATGTCCACTGGGCGCTGACGCCTGGAACGCACAGACTGCGCCACGCACCAGCATTTTCAAGCACTCCTGAGCTGGTTGAGTTGACATGGCTGTCCACATCGCGATGCAAGAGGGATCAGCTCATAGCAACCAAACGGGCAATGGGAGCATAATTTGCTCGCGGCCCTGTGGTTCCCATACCAGGCACATGCTGTCGGAGCACGCAATGCCGTTATCAAGCCGAAAGCTGGGGAGGAACAGCGCCATTCCCATGACGCCACGAACTCCACGACCCTCTTAATGGGTGAGGGACATTTCGTGCAGGCCACTGTGCGTTGCCCCACCAATTTAATACTAGTATATGATGCTTCTTGAATTCCCAACGCCGCCATCTCCGTGCTGTGAGAGGGTGCCCTTGTCAAATTCGAAAATGCAATGCGAAGGTCATGGTGGGAATGATGCTCGAAGCGGCCGCTGATGCTATCACTCCGCCTCGCCAGGCACAGCAGCCCCAATACTGATGGCAACTCTCAGTATATTGCACCCCCTCCAGTCGCAGATGCCACAGCTTCTGTTGGGTATTTTCCTACCGTGATCGGGCAAGGATAGTGCTGCATGGTGTTTCATAATATTTCATGTTGATGCACAAACATGTCTAAACTGGGAAAACATGACGTTAACTAACACAAGCATGACAACATATTGGTTTGGAACCAATATTATACGCTGGTAGATGGAGCTTTTCCTATGCTGCAACGAGTGGCCCCAAATTTGTTGAAGCTCCCACTTCAAATCCTTAGTCAGATTGCCCCCCTCTCCCTCAGAGAAAGTTCCATTGCCTGCAAGGATGCGCTTGTTCAGCATCCAGGTGTTGTGCATCTGCAGGTTGGCGCCGCTCCCTCACCGAATCCCGCAAACCAAGCGGTGAATGGCAGTTTTACAGGTGTCGAGGTTGCAAGCTTTGAGCTTCCCCGCCGAATTTATTCTCAATTCGAGTGTCTTGGCCCCCTACCCCCAAACGCCTCGCCCTCTCTAACCCCTCCCAAGCCCCCCCAAGCTCACGAATGATCACGACGGAATCCACCTCATCAGGTACGCACTCCCAACGCCATCGCAATCCACCCTCGCCAAAGGGTGCTCCCTACCCCTCAACACCCCCACTCCCCCCCCTCCCCCCCTTCCTCCAACCACCCCCAACCTGCCCCCGCCTAGGTCTCAATCACCAGGTCCTCCCCTTCTTTGCACTGCACATCGCGCCCAGCAACCGCATTCCCAGACGCGCCCACGCCCGACGGCCCGCTGACCGCCGACGCCGGCTCGCCCGCCCCGCTGGCGTCCGCGAAGGCCATCGCGTTCCCGCGTGTGCTCGCGCTCGCCGATGCGCCGTTGCGAACAGCCGCGATGCAGTCCTTCTCGCCGTCCACCACCACGCCGCACTGCCACTCCACCGCGGGTGGCTCCGGGATGTCTTCCAGCGCGTCGCAGGACGGCCCCGGCCCGAACGGGCTCCTCCCCTGGAGGTCGCACTCGCCGTTGTCGATGCTCACGCCGTCCGTCAGCCCGTTGATTGTCCCCGTGACCTTCATCCCCCGCTCGCCCGAAATGTGCACCTGGCTCACGCCTTCGATTGTCACTGTGGCCGATGTCTGGACGCCCAGGACGTATATGTCCCCCACGCCTTTCACCTTGACTTCCGCCATGTCGATCTTCCCCTCCAGGTAGATGGGCACGTCGCCGGCGCCGGCGTGCTCCACCTTGACTTTCTTGGCATCCAGCCCCTTGGCGACGATCACGCCCGCGCCCGAGTTTACGAGCTCCAGCTCATCGGATTCGAACCCCTCGCTGAGCAGCACATTGCCCACGCCCGCATTCTTAATGACCTTCAGGGCCGTGGCGGGGACAAAGATGGTCACCCGCACGGCCTTCTCCGTCACGAACCCTTTGTCTAGGCCGAACCCCATCACGCCATCCTCCACCGTGGCCACGAAGGCCTGCGCCACGTCCGGCTCCGCGTCGACCAAGATGCTCGTGTTCTTCTCGTCCGTGGGGGCCACCAGGATCGAAATCGGCAGGCAGAAATTCAGCTCGCTCACATCGCCAACGTCCCAGCCTCGCTCCTCCGCCGCGGCCAGGCCCGGAGCGGCCAGGCACAGCGCGGCGCACAGCAAGAGGGCTCTGGGGAACATGCTCGCGACCGTGTTTGCTCGCCTGGGGTTTGGGTGGGCCGTTCCGTTTCAGGGGTGCGGTCCGGTTCGGATGTAAATACGCGCCATTTCCGTGTGGGAAGTTCAACGTGAGAAGTGGGAGGTGCGCACCGGACAAATGCGCTCCGCGTGCTGTCAACGGGCTCATGACTACTGATTAGTTCAGGCAGCAATTGATGTGCAGCTGTGGCGGGCGAAATGCACGGACGGGGGTGGCCTGGGAGCAGGTAGCGCGGAAGAGGCAACGTTGTTTGCGAGTTTGCTACAGGCGCAAAAATGCACCCGTCGCGGTGAGGGCCTAAGGCTCCCCGGCCAGTTCACGGATCGAGCGGCTGGTGGAGGCGGGATAGCTTCGGGGTGGGTTCGGCTGGGGTCACGTACAGGCAACAAAACGGAGAGGGGCCTGGACTTCTACCGGACTCGTGCTGCACTTCGTCGTGTCGGAATTCGTGCAACACCTGCATTATTGGGGTTGCCAAGGCTGGAAAATACGGCAGGAAACCCCTGGTGGGAGCCACTGGGCCGACTTTCGTGCCGTGGGGGCATTGCAAAAATGTGCAGTAGAACCATAAAAATTTTATGAAACGTTTCCCCACATACCTGGCCTTTTCGTCGAACTTTCCTTCCAGTGGACCGACATGCAAATCCTGTTTGCCGTGTTGCCGGGCGAAAAACCTCCCGTTCCCATCCTGACGTTGGTCCGATACGATCCCAGTTGCATGCTCGAATTTTGCTTCCAAATTACGTGAGCACTATGAATGGCCGCCAGGGCTGCAGGCTCGAAACCCTCTTTCTAGCTGTTCCTCTCTTCCCAGCGCTTGTTGCGTTGTTGAAACCAGAACCGATCCAGTGTTGTTAACAGCTGGGCGCATAAAGGGGTGATGAGGCATTAGGGAATTGCATTAAGGACACTTGTGAACTGACTTGATATAAGGGACAGAACTCCTTTTGCCCCTTTGCTCCGCTGTAAACCGTTGCCGTGTGCTCGAGCCTACGGTCCCCAGTCAGGGGTCGCCACCCCTTGACCCTGCGTGCCTTCGTGAGTGCCACGCCTCCATCTTTTGCAACCATTAATTGCAACATTTAAAATGACGCCGCCGAATTTTTATCGCCATTTGACGCCTATCTCGCCGAGCAGCGCAGGCGGCTGGTGGGCGCCCCCTCCGATGTCACTCCCCGGCCACAAGCGTCGCACCGGCGCGGTCGCCTCGGCCAACAAGAGGACAAAGACGCAGGAGGCGGGCGGCGGCGATGCTGTGGGAGTGATTAGCCAAGGCCTGCTTGAAGAGAGCAATTTGGAGTCCCTGCGGCGGGCCTTCGCGGCGGGCGCTCCCTTTCCGCACGTCGTGCTGGAGAACGTGTTCGACGATCAGTCGCTGCGCCGTGCGCGGGAGGAGGTGATCCACAATCTGAAGGCGGACTTCAAGGAGACGGACATCTTCAAGGTCTTCCAGACAGGTGCTTTTCTTTGGATTCCAGAATGCTACATCACATTTCAGTGTCCAGGTACCTCCCCCGTCCTATCACAAGTTGTGTGGGCTTTATGCCACCCAGCAAGAGAGGCAAAGCGAGACAGGTGCTCGTTTGTGAGAGGATGGGAATTGGCCAACATTGTTGGGTTGTGCTTGGGGATGGAAAGAAGACCATTGGCACCCTGCGGGTGGAGGAGGGGTGATTGGCCGTGTTTCGAGTGAGTAATTGAAGGGTTGGCATCAGTGGTGGTATGCTTGAGGACTGTTGGGATGGGATCTGTGCTGGTCGTCCATGATGGACGTGGTGGAGCGATCCAAACATTGACTGCATCTGTCAGAACCTGACCAATCGCTGCCCTTTTACCTATTGGGAGATGTGCAGAAGCACAAGTGCTGCTGCCCACCTATTGTGTTGCGTCGATTCCCAGACATGTCCTGGCTGAAGGATGTCCATTTGGGAGGGGAAGAAAACACTTTATGGAACGGTAATCCTTCTGCAAAAGATGTTGTTGGGCTCCTCAACGCAGTGGAGGAAGGTGCAGAGGTCCCCAAGTACATCAGGAGCAGTGATTGGATGCTTTCGTGCTCTCACTGCCTGCAAAGTTCATGGGCATTGCTGATCAAATTTTCTTCCCAAATGTTGCAACACAATCCATTGTCCAGATGCGTCCCCTCTCTTAACAAGACATCTGAGGCTTGTGCCACCAAGCAAAAACCTGCAGAGCGACATAAAGCCTTTAAGGTGTTGGCTCAATCTGCTCAATCTCAAAAGAAGAGATGTGCAGGATTTGGGGGCGTGCAGGGAGAGGGGGGAGGGGGGCACTTGGTAGATTGGAAATCAAAGCAAATCACATGGGTTTGCTTGCAATTACATGAATAGCAATTGTTAACAACCATGATAAACATGAGAACAAACGAACAAAGGACACTGCATGTGATGGCTGTCATGGGCATTGTGAGCCATGTGGAATGGCAACCTCTCCATGACTTGATATTGTTTGCGAATGGGACAAGACATGCACTGGGTGCACCTTAGGAATGTGTTTGGGATGCTTTGCAAGAGTGCAAAAGCAGTGTTACTTTGATATTACATTGATGGATCTGGACACCTCCCAGGGCTTGGGGGCTGCTATTGTTCCCCTGATAGTTGATTGGCTGGGGATTGCTATGGGCAGATTAGGACAAAGCGCTGAGGATGCAAACATGCCCCGTGCTTTGTAGGTGCATTGGCACGATTTCCCAAGGTCGGCGTTCTGAGAATTTGCTGCATAAGTGATTTGCTGATACTACTCTGCACGTTCTGGTGAAAGCTTAAGGGGGCAGACATGCTTTTGCACATGTTCTGTTGTTTGATATGTTGAAGAGTCAGCGATGCAACTCAAGACTCCAGCCTATGCTGCAGCAGAAAGAATTTCAGAAACAGTAGTTCAGCCGAGTAGCAGTAACTGCGCAGTATGACAGCATCAATCAAGGACTTCCTCAGCTCATAGCTGTGTTGATCTGTTGGACATATCCCAACAGAGGAAAGAGCTGTGAATTGTGATGTTCAGACAAATGCAAGCCAAACAGGTACACGCAACTGCTCTTTTCTCTTCTGTGGTGTTGGTGCATGCCATCGCAAACTGTTTCCGCATTTTGTGATAGGCGACCTGGCAAACTACGACTCCTGTGATGATGGGATTTCAAACAGTGGCGACCTGCGGGCCGTGCGCGATGCCATCTATTCAGAGGGCTTCCGGACACTTGTGCAGAAAATCACCACACGGGCTGTGGGCTCGCAGGTGGACTGCTCGTGCAACGTGTATCTGGACGGTGGCCACCTGCTGTGCCACGACGATGTGATTCGAACTCGCAGAGTTTCGTACATCTTGTACCTGACTGACCCTGATGACGCTTGGCAGCCAGAAGATGGGGGAGCACTGGAGCTGTATCCTGCAAACAAGGAAACAGGTGGGTGGTGTGGATTGCACAGTGGCTTGTCAGTATCACCCTTAGGCGGAGGCATGCATACCTCTGAGTGCCCTTGAATACATGTGTGTGCAATTGGCAAGGCACAGTCCTTGCAGCTGCGAGGCGGTGCCAGGCAAAATTCCTTGCACGGATAGTCAAAATATGGTTGACATAATTTGGCAAAGTCGAAAGCCAGAGTCATCAGTGTGGGAAGGAGATGCATCTCATATGGTGGGCATCCTGTCATGAGCAAAGTGAGAGTGTGATCTGATGCCGGCAGCATCGCCCACTGGCTGAAGGTTGGCAATCCTGGATTCACAACATGTGTGTGCTGTGTGTTGTATGTTCACAGGGGAGCCACTTGTTCGCCCATCGAAGCTGATATATCCAGCATGGAACAGCATGGTTGTGTTCAATGTGGAACCTGGGGTTAGCTACCATGCGGTGCAGGAAGTTTTTAGCGGCTACAAAAGGCGCCTCAGCCTGTCTGGTTGGTTTCATGCAGACTCTGAACTGCCAGGATCTGAGAAGGCTACTCTCAGCCAACTGAAGATGAAATGTGGTGAGGATGTGCATCGCCTCTACAGCGAAATCGTGCCCTTGCAGGCAGGTGGGTGGAAACGGCAGTGGCCAGGATGTGTGTTGTTGTTGTCAATCATACCACATGCTGCATCAGCATTGGAAAATGTAGTTATTCTGTCTCTTGGTGCCAGATCTACAAGCAGGTTCACATGCCCAAGACCTATCCCATGAATGTGTTGTCCACCTGACCAACGCAGGAAAGGAGCAAGACAATCTCCTGCTTATTTCTTAGCAGGTATTGCAGTGAAATTGATCGTGTGATCTGTATTTGTTCCACATTAACTTCAGCACATTGCGGTGGTTGTTCAACTGAGAAGCAATGTACTCCATGATTGTACCAATGCCTATGTTAAGCGTCCAAATCACAATTTTAGTCTATGTTGTGAGCATGCTCACTTCAGCCGTTGAACCTGCAGCTGTAGCTGGAGCCACTGGTTAAAGGCAGCCTTTCTGTGTGGGGTGCAAAACAGAGGCGAAGGAATTGGCAGACCTGGGAGTATTGAGGAAATGGGTGAACGCGGTGTTTCTAGATCCTGCTGCTATGGACCGCATTTATGAGAAGTTCCATGCTGAAGGCAGCATACAACTTCAAGACTTTCTCAGGCAGGATGTTTGCAAAGCCATAAAAGAAGCGCTGAAAAGAGAGGAGAAAGAGGCCCTGCCACAGGGAGACACTGCCATGCAGTAAGTTCAGAGACATGAACTTCCCCCCAGTGCATAATTCGTACAACGTTGTCTCTGGTGCCAACAGAACTGGCAGAACTGCTGAGAGTGTTGGCTATTTGTACCTTTGTAGTTTCGATGCCGATTCGCACACCATTGCGGACATTGTCTACAGATTGGACGAGTCTGATACAGCCATGTGTGCTGAATAGGGGCTCCTTGGGAAGTACAGGGCCCTGGGCAGAAATTGGTCCCCCTCACAAGCAGCGACACATGTTGCACACTGCCGGAGGGTCCACCAGCAGCTGCGGGGGTCTTCTTGAGTGCCTGAAGAATGAGCTGTTTCGCTCTCCCGCATTCTCTCAGCTGCTCCACCACCTGACTGGCGTCCGCATTGCTGGGATTTGGACCGAGGTGCGACGATTCCGGCCTGGCCTAGACTACACGGTTGCGCACTATGGTGCCATATCCGATGACGACAGACTGGATGCAGTACTCTGTTTTGTGGACGACGACAGTGAAGAGGATGCCCTGAAATGGGACAGTGGTGATGTGGGTGGCTTTGAGGCGTACTTGCTGGCGGATGTGGATGGCGACGAGCAGGAGGCGCCAGAGGTGTACAAAGTGGACGACGGGGACGAAAGCTCCGGCGTGCTGAACATCAGTGCCGTTTCGAACACCCTCAGTCTCGTCCTCAGGGATACAGGTCTCATGCGTTTTGTGAAATATGTCAGCGCATCTGCACCAAGTGGGCGATGGGATATTTCAGCTGAGTACCAATTACAGAACGATGAGTGCGGTGGCGAGGGCTCCGACAGCTGACACATATGTGGGATAATGCAGCAGGGAATGGTGGGATGGACCGCTGCTTATTCCATCGCAGCTGAGCATCGATTTCAGAAGAGTGGAGACATCGGTATGTCTTCGCAGGTGTGTGTATGTTGGTGCAGCTGGGATGGAAAGGTGGGGCATTGCTTGTAACTGGATGTAATTGCTGACATGGACAGCAGATCAGACGGAGAACAAGCTTGATTGGTAACTGGTGGGTGGCCTGTCCATCGGATGGGGCGTTACCTGACGGCCTGGTGGCCATCCTTGAGATGTCCGGAAGTCCGAAGTACCCCAGTTGGGAGTGCTCTGCGGGCTTGACAGACCCAAGCGGCCGGCTTGCCAGTTGAGAGTCGACGGCCAGGCCCTCTGCATGGATGGGGCGCATTGATGTAGGGAAGTAAATCACTGTTAGAGAAGGGAGAGTAGGGAAGATCGGGCCATCTTGAAAAGTTGCATTGGAGCGCTCCGCTGGATCTCCCAACATCTCTTTCGCTCCAGTGCACCGCCAGCCAATGGTTCGATAAAACAGTTGTTGGATCATTAGAAGAAAGTTCTTGGCTGTTGAACCCTGGAGTCCGTCACTTGCTTCCTGGTCTTCATGGCAGATTCCCCACGTGTGTGCGTGTTTGGCTCAAAGCCACGTGCCCTCGAAATGGCAGAACGGTGATGCTGTGACGTCCACATTGGATCCCCAGTTCTCAAATTTACCAGCACACCTTGGAAGTGGAAGTTGAAGCACAGGCACCAGGACATGTGCAGTATGCCATGTTCACAATGAGTACAAGCACTGTACACAGTACCTTATGGCCATGGTACACTTGGCGTGTACGCCACCGTCCATGACCAAATGGGTGGAGCAAATCAGTGGCAACTTGAAATGTGAACTTTATGCATTCTATGAGAGACGGCGACGCACTATGGAATTGGTGACGCAAAGTTTTGCAAGCGACAAGAAGCAGCACGTGTCGGCGCAGAATATGGAGATTGCCTGAGGGCTAAGACAGCACACAGTTCAACCTCTAAACAGTGCAAGACAGCGGCCAAACCGAACTGGCGCCACCCTATATATATCCTGTATATAAATCGTAACATGTTATTTGACATACAACAGCAAATAGAATCTCCTGCTTCAAAGGGCCGTCTTTACATCAAATCCCAAGGTAGAAAGTT